GAGGGAATCAGGGTCCTTACTTTGTAAGCATCCTCAACCTGTGCAAGAGGAGGGTAGGGAGATGTTGTGAGGTCTATACCTGCCCTAGGGGGATGGCAGCCTGCTACAATATTAGGGAAGAAAAGAGGCTTGCTCCTCCCACCACCATTTTGCTCTTGTTGCTTTTGTTATCTTTTGCCACTTTGAAGTTTTGTCCTTATGCCATGCCACCCTGTCTTAGAGCCAGACAATTATCGACTGAAATCTCCACAAACTGAACTAAATAAACTTTTCTTTCCTTAATTTTGGATGTCAGGTATTTTGTCTTAGCAATGAGAGAAAAGTAACCAACACCAAAACTATTCCATTTGGATTTAAGATAATATGTCAGCATACTGTGATATTCACATAACATTCTCACCTATTCAGCAAATTCAAAAAAATTTTAAACTATTTCTTAATTAAATAAAAATGTATCTTAATATCGTGGTCTACTAATGTAACATACGGAGCCAGGGTGTCAAACTTTGAAAAAGCTCTATTAATCTTGGGCAACTTACTTAACTACCTTGTGTTTTAGTTTCCTTCTTCTGAAAATAATTAGAATAATTTTAACAATAAAATGTAACAATTGAATATATTAAGGTATGTGAAGTTTTCAGAATAGTATCTGATATATGATGGATACTACATATAGTAGCATTATTGTTATAAAATAGATTGACTTTCAATGATATATCTTCATAAAGTAGGAACTGACATCTTTCTTTAAATGGACCATGTGACAGTAATGACAATAGATGCTTGCTAAGCTGCTAATATATTCTAGGTACATGCTCAGATCTATGTTACAAATTCAGTTCAGGAGCCTGTGAGTATGCAGGAAACATAATGAAAAGTAGAGAACAAAACTTGGCCAAGATACATTAGGATAAGTGACACTTAAATTATGGTACTATGGAAATGCAGATTAATGGAAAAATTAAGTTAGTTCTGATTGGATCCAGAAAGAGCTGACTGACCTATCAGCTAGACCTCCATGAAATCCAACCAAATGAATGTGAAGGTCCTTTGAGACATAAGGAGAACGGGGTAAAGATGAAAGAGAAATAAAAGCAGAAAGCAGAAGGCACGTGAGCCATATATGCAAGTGTCTAGAGATGAACAGGGAAAAGAGGGTTGATTCTTATGAAGCACCTTGTTGGCAGAGGACTATAAACAAGTGTCTAAATTTCAGGAAGAGAAATATAGCGCCCACTGCATTTTAAACCAGTCACTTCAATGACACCATAAGGAATAGACTTGAAGTAACAATGCAGAAATTGCATCAAGAGATTATTGCAATGATCCTACCTCAGGAGAGATTTTAAAGGGTAAGATAGATAATACTAACAAAGCGAAGTGGACAGATTTGAGAATAATCGATGAATCCATGTACCTAAATTAGTACAAGTAGACCACGTTAATTTACATATACTTTAATATACTGGTCTGATCTTGAAAGCATGAAGGTAAATAATGAACTTTTTCTTTAATCCAGATTTAAGGGCTGGAGTTATAGCTCAGTGATACAGCATGTTATGGTTTATATCTGGATACCACGTTCAGTCCAACAAATCCTTATACAGAGATGAATGAAGACGTAAGAAACAGAATATCTTTGTTGGGGGCCAGGGAACTTCACTGAAATAGCATGAAGTCCAAAACTGACTCTAAATTTATTGAGGAACAACAAAGGCAGATTTCTGCAGATCCCACATGTTTGTTTAAGCTAGCAAGGCAGGCAAACAAGGCACAGTGACCTTTGGCTGAATAATTAACTTTCATCTGACTGTCTCCTAAGGAGCTTCCTTTGCTTGCCCATAAGGTCTGTCTCTGCTCAAATTGGCAAGACATCCAATCTTCAAGACATTTCAGCTCCTCAGAGGTAGCAGCCCTCTGCTTCCCCAGTCAATCCAAGGAGACACTAACCTAACCGGTGTCAAGGAATTCCACATCATGATGTCCTCCAAGAGCCTCATGTGCTTAACTTGTAGATGGGCTTTTGGAAGGTGACTGGATTTGGAAAGCTATTAGGAGGCAGGGTCTAGTCAGAAGAGGTGAGTAACTAGGGGTGTGGGCCTAGAAGGGCTTATCTCTCTCCCCAGCTTCTGGCATCACTGTCTGCTTCCTGTCTGCCTACGGTGAACAACTCTCCTCCACAGGGACACTCTGCATGCCATCATACTTTGAAACCGGGCAACTGTGGAGGAAACATGAGCCAAAATAAATAAACCTCTCCTTCCTTGAGGTTTTTAATGTATGCTATCTTATCTCAGTGAAGAGTAAGTAACTAAGAGGGAGCAATTCCCTACCAGGTACAGGACTGTAGGTCCAATCCCTAATACTATTAAGTACACACATTAGAATTTAACACCCTTCAATGAAATGAAAGCATTCTTTTACCATAATCTTCAGTAAGGAGGAAAAGATTAAAATGTAGGTGAACTATCATAGGAATGTAAGTATTCTTATCTTAAAATACCTACAGTAAGAAGCTAAACACACTTGAAAAGTTAGTGCACAGATTTTTAAGTAAGGAGTGAAGAATTTAAATATGTTCTCTATAAAACACAGTTCCTTCGATGATGAGGATATTCAAGTGACTTGCAAATGTCACAAAGTTAGTGACCTGGCCGCTCTATAATGACCTCTCACTCCAGTCCACTTTACTTTCTACATTTATATGCATAGAGTCGTGTACTTTCCCCAAGGTATGATTTTTTAGTTATTATTATTCATATGTGATTCTTTAGTCTCTCTTCCACGGTACTACTGACATTTTGGGTTGGATAAATCTTGGTTGTGGAGCACATTCCTATGTACCGTAGAAGGTTTGACAGCATTTTGTCGTCTACTTATCAGATTCCAGAAACACCCCTCCTGTTCCTCTTGTGACAACTGAAAATGTCTCCCTCCAGTAGCAAAAGCAACTTCTGAGGAGCAAATAGCGCCCAGTAACAACCCTGCTCTCAAGTCCTCTCTATCTCTAATCCATCACGAGCTTTAGTCAAAGGAGGAAGAATCCAAGCACTTTGTAAAATTTATCATGAAAATTCTCAAACGTTGTAATACTTTCAGCAGTTTTAATACTCTTTTTCTTAAGAAGCTCAGCACTTACTTGTCTTTCCTCTAACTTTCTACTGTTTCCCTACCTTCCTTGTCTACTCCTAGAACATTCCTTTCATTATCAGCTACACTTCCGGGCTTCCGTGTTTGTTGGTTTCTAGGTGGGTTCGGCCCACAGGAAGGTCTCACAAAATTGGAGTCACAGGAGGAAAAATGCCAGAGCAATCTTTTTTTCATCTGAAAAGAACTGTTGAGTTAATCACCATGATTCCTATTCTTGCTAGACAAGCCCTTCCTTTGTGGTGCCTGCCATGCAACTGACCATCTGACCAACTGACCATACCAGGTGGACTTTGATCCCAGGCTCTCATAATCACTGTTTTTCCCATCCTAAGGGTAGCAGCAACTTCCTACCATTGCTAATCATAAGTAATCTCACTTTTCCATTTTGTTCCTTACTTTTTCTGTCACCTGTGTTAAGTTGTTACAAGGGAGTGAATTCGGTTCCCTGTAAATCCATGTTTCCCTAACCACCACTGTGAAAATATTTGGAGTAAGGAAGTTATTAATTTTAAATAAGATCATAGGATTGGAATGTTGAGCCAACAGGATAAATGTACTTAGAAGAGGACACAACTGAGAGAACTCCTCCTCTTCCTCTTGCTCTCTATTCAGTGTGAAGACACAGCAAAAAGTTGTCTACAAGATAGGGCAGTCTTGGAATTCTCATGCTCTAGAACACTGAAAATATTTCTGTTAAGACACTCAGCTGTTTCTTGTTATGGCATTTCAAGTAGACTAACTTGACTGTTTTATTATATTCTCATTTTTGGAAATGGCAGAAGGGTTTCTGCTTTCCTGCCAACCCTGACTGGTACAAGTTCTTTACATTATTATTACCATATAATATTTATTGAACTTCTGATGTATGCCTGACATTATATAAATGGTACTTTTACATTTATTTTCTTACTGTTTCTCTCAACAACATTGTAAAGTGGCATAAATGATATGACATAAGGAGCATAGGTTTTGAGTCACTGTCAATCACAACTCCTTCACTTACTACCTACCAGAATTAAGAAAAGTTGACCTAAGTTCGGGGGCCTTGCCTGAAAATTGGTCTAATAATGGTAATAATCCAGAAGAATGTTTTGTGTTAAATGAGTTACTTGATACAAAAAACTGATTTTTAGGAATATAACAGGCTTTTAGCAAATCTATCATTTTTAGTTACAATTTACAAAGTGTCAATTCTATGCCGTGCACTGTGCTCCAGGGACATAAACAATCAATGTTTTGAGGAGTTTTTGTGTACTAGCTGAGGTAAACATATGAACAAAATATGGCAGGTTTATAGGTAGATGTATTATGAGAAAGCCAACATGATTGACGGTCAGGATGTGGGAGGCACTGGTCAAGTCTTAATCTCAGTTTACTAATTAGTAACTGAGTCTGGGCAGGTTAACTAATTTCTCTAAACTCCAATTTTTTCCATCTGCAAATGAGGATAATAGCAGTTCCTACTTTATAATAATTAGATGAGAAGAAATGAGATAAGAATAGCACAGTTTCTAATATAATTTCTGGAAGGTAGCATGTGTTCACAGAGAGATAGTTTTAAAATTTTTCATCATTGATAGTGAAGCACAAAATACAGGTGCCTAGTTCAGGAAGGCTCCAGCAAGGTTCTGACTCTGTGGCTGTGACACTGATTTACCCAACATCAGTAGCCTTCCTTATTTTCCTTCCTCCTTCATGCTTTTCTATTGTGAGTATAAATTATTAAAATCACTTTAGAAAAATTTTTGAAACACTCTATTAAAGTTAAACACATATAGACAAAATAATTCCACTCTTGCATGTATATCCAGAAATACATACATAAATAAATATATATATACCCAAAGACATAAAAATATTCGTGGAAGTTTATTGATAATAATGCAAGCACATGCCTATCAAGAGAAAAATGGATACTTTGTAATATATTCATATACAATGGAATATTACACAGCAATGAGAACGAACTACAGCAACATGCAATGTAGGTGAATTTCAGTGACAAAATGCAGAGTCAAAAAACCAGAGTGCATACTTGTTCCATTTAGAAAAGTTTAAGACCAAGCAAAAATGAAGACTGTATAGTCATAGAAATCTTTTAGGGAAATATTTACTGAGAAGGTGAATATATTGGTACATATACCAACCAGCTCTCAAATATAAAAAAGCAGTATCAACAAGTTGCCCTGATTTTACAAGTATCCATGGTGCAAATATTCCCACCGTGTTTAGCCACACCCTTCCAAAGCAATATCATTGAATATAGACACAGAAGGATATGTACATGTGTGCAGTCTGCTCAGGCAGGTTGGACTGGGCCAGTTCCAATACACCCTTGCAAGATGGCATGAAGCCTCCTTCAGTCTGGTATGCCAGACATGCTTTGCATTTTGTTCTAGGTTGTGCTTACACACGTGTACACACAACCACAGAGCTATACAGATAAGTTTTTTTTACTGTCTGAATATTGTGTTCTAATAACAAGTAAAATAGTAAGATATTCCCCAGAACTAGCATAAAAGAGCAGTTATCCCTACTGTGTCTTACAGAGAGGTCCAGAGAGGTACTAGAGCCTCAATGACAGAGAAATGGGCACCCAGATCTTGTCCCCACAGTGGGCAGGCAATAAAAAAGAGAGTATCAGCAATCAGTGACACAAAATAGAAAAAAGATGGTGACTCTTTTAGCTGGGCCACTCTCAATTAGTTCAACTTGAAAATTAATTCAGTCTTATCACCAATGGTTACTTCACTTCATCAGAGCCTTGTTTCTGAACATCTCAGATGTCCCGCCTTAGCAGAGCTCTGTCACTTTGAAGGGAGGATTATTCCACTGGGTGGCTCCAGATGAGCATTTTAAGCAAAGAATCAAGCACAAAAAAAAAACTAATGTAAACAATGCTATTTTTACTTTGAGTAAAAATATACAATATAATTTTCTTTATGTACTTCAAATCTTAAATATGTTCAGTGTGTGTAGAAGATATTTGTAGTCTAGCAAAATAAGACATTTTAGTAAGAAACCTGCTTCTGATACACGTATCACTCAATTTAATCACAAAGCCAAAGAAAAATGTTAAAGGGGTTGACAGGTTAAGGCTTCTGGCATCCACAGGTTCATTTGTTCCCGATCTGGCAATACAGGACCATAGAAAACACCAAGCCAAGTATCTAGAGAGTAAAGTAATAAGATTAGCATGGAAATTAAGGTAAAACACCAGAGACATTATAAATAAACAAAATGAAAGTATATGTGAAAATATTCTGTTGGTTCTTTGTACTGAATCTTTCATGGTAATTGGAACAAAAGAGCCCTAAGAAACCTGAAGTTGCTTTTATTGTGTCCTGTGTGCACGTGTATCAGGGATTTTTCAGTTGGCCAGTCAGCATTTATCAACAGCCCTTTCTCATTGTGCTGTAGAAGCGGTCACCATCCTATTCTCCTGTCCTTTCTCCAGGACACACATCTTTTTGTAAGGCATCTGCCCTGAAGCTCTGGGGACCACTTCAGGACTCTGGGGGCTAAATATACCTACTGATTCCATAAAAACTCAACAGTCACTTGGTTTCTATCATCTATATAAAAATCAAGGAGTCTAGAATTTCTCTTACCACAGTTTTAGGTATTGCCTATAGAATGAAAATAAAGTAAGATTTTTTCTTTAGAAAATCTCTAACCTAGGGGAAATAGCTTAGCTCAGGAATTTTCTTTGAAGTGAAAAACCACTACTGAAAATCTGGCACACTTTCCATCTCATTAGCTCTGCTTCCACTAACGAAGCCCAAAGCTTACTCTAATTGGCTCTGCAGTTGGTGATTTGCAGGTGGTGGCTTTGATATAGAAATATCAGAAAGGACCTGTGTTCACTACAGATTGCAAATTTCTTCCTACCTTCCCCTTTGAAGAGAAGCAGGAAATAGGGCAAGGTGTCATTTGTGCTGAGTCATCTCAAACACTACTATCATGTTAACTTACTGCTTACTAATTCTTTCCTGTAAATGTGATTAAACTGCCACCAATTATTTCTTTCTTCATAAAAAGAAAAATAAAATAGACATCTACTCTCTGAATTAATGATTTTATTCAGAAGTTCTAAAACTCAGGATTAAAATGTGGCATTTTTGCCTTGAGCCCAGTCTTTAAGTCTAAGTAAAAAATATGAAGAAGAAATTTTAAAAATGGGCAAAATAACAGAATAAAGCAACTATCAGAGTTTACTGCTGTATCCTTGAAACAGCCCATCATACATCAACAAGGTAGATAGTAACATCACACTGTCTTGCATTTATTGTCTGAAGTGAACATCAATGAATGTTCAGGAAAATAGCAAATAAAAGATAGTCATCTGATTATAATCTATGCTAAGATTCAGGATAAATTTCCTAAGTCTGTTCTGATATGTATACTACTAATATGTACAGTATCTCATATTTTGAAGCAGTTTTTAAACTGTGATAAAATTATCATTTTTCTTTTTAACTTCTCTATTCTCAGGACGGTGAATTCTTATCGTGATACATTTGTTCTGTAAACTGATGACTGACAATGTCAATGATGTTTTATTTTTTAAATTAAGAAGAGAAATAAAAATACTTATAAATTGCTGGAGTCAATAAGGAGATCTATGATAATCTGGATGGGTCTAAATAATGAAAATTCCGGTGTCTACAGATAATTTTTTTATAGAATACAACATTTTGCATAGATTCTTAGTATTATACTCCTTCTCTTCATCAATGTCCTGAAAAAACTATATATATATATATATATTCATATACATATATATATTGCATGGAGATCACTGCTTCTGTTTCATTAAAATACTTTCCATGCATTGTTGTGTTTCTTTCTTTTTTGTTTTTTTCAGTTTAAACCTGAGAAACTTGCTTTGGTCATACAACCATGAATGTACCTGATCTCATCTGAGTTTGTGAATCCAAGAAAGGAGATGGGCTTGAATTTTATGCAACAAGGACTCTAGGAGAAACTGTAGTACATTTTGGAGTACATTTTGATAAACTGGATGACATGAGACAATTTTCAAAGTTTGTTTTTGAATAAAGGAAGAAGGAATATATGATGATTTTCTTTTGCTTCAAACATACAATGAGAGCAGAGTTTTATTGAGGAATTAAATCAAAGTATCTAATAGTTTTTTAACCAATTGCTAACCACATCTATGTAGTCTAGAAATCACACTTAATTTAACTGGTCTAAAAGAAAGATATTCAGATTTTTGGCAAAGCCTGTGACTGTGATGAGAGTCAGCAACATTCCCTATGAAGCCTATCCTTTTTCTTTTTATTTTCTTTAGCTGTTTTTCAGAAGCTTCTTAAAAGCCTCTGTGAGTTGTAGCCATAGTCAATTTTCTGAATTTGAGCATAATATGAAATTGAGCAATAACTTTCAGTGCCTCATCTAAAGTCTATTTACTTGATCTTTTGTGGTTTTTGTCTGGTTTTGTTTTTATTGATTTATTGGGTCTGGATATGCTAATCACATGTTCCACCAAACGACACCTTTGGCCCTAATCACTCATTTTAAATCTATGCTATGTATATATGTGCATGTGTGCTATATTTTTACAGAAACATCACTGTGTATGTATATATTTTAAATATATGTAAGATACAGATCTATAAGACATATATAAATATATATATATATTTAATAATATATATGTATATATATAATCTTTACTCTTGTTATGGCCATTAGCTCTTATCTCTAAATTGTGTAAGCCCAGAACACAACGTAAAGAATGAACATTTCACAAAATGTAAAATCAATGGAAACAGACCTAATGCACCATACTTTTGACTTTGATCTTGTATCAGACATAAAGAGAGCCACATCCTACCAATAGAGAATCTTTGCATTTAAACCCATCTATTTGGGCTACAAAAACATTATCCTCAACAGCCCAATTTACTGCTAGAAGCCCTGAGCAGTTCTCTAATACTTGGGTGGAAAACTCCCCCAGTAACCTCAATGACCACTTAGAACATTAACTTGCTTTAATCTCAGCTAAAACTCTTATCTGGCAGTGATGTGGCACAAGACGTAGAAAGCTGCCAGGAAGCTCAAGGGAATATTTCACAGCATTCCTTGATGGGGAAACAAAAGTCACTCAGTTGAGTTCAGCAGCCCACAAAAGCATTAACTATGGAGATGCCTTACATTGAATTTTTGTTAATGTTCTGAAATAGGATTGTGAGTAAATTTAACTCTTGATATCTGAATTACCTAAAATCTGGGATAATTCCCAAAATGCTTCTCTGAAATAGTTTTGCTTCACATTCTGGAGAAAGATTTTTAGGCTTTGTAAAAAGTATTTTATGGCTCCTAAAAAACCATGCCAAGGAAACCCATCAAGATAAAAATCCTATGCAGGATATTTTTCCAACGTCAATAATTATATTAATGAGAGTAATACAGAAAACTTAATCAAAACTTTCTTGAAAACTTCTTCAAGTGAATTTATACTACACTAGTTTAGGATTTATTAAATTTCCCTAGAATAGAATAACATGAAAATAGCTTTGCCTACTCTCCAAGTTCATTTTCTATATTCTATTTCAGAATCACAAGATAAGAACTACAAAGATTAGTTCTTTGCTTTTGTTTGGTCCTTTTTTTTCTCACTTCAGGGAACTTTAGCCCTTGTGCTTGTTTTCAACAGGTAAAGGTTACCTCAACTGGGCTGGGGATTTAGCTCAGCGGCATAGGCACCTGCCTTGCAAGCAGGCAGTCATGAGTTCAATCCCCGGTACCGATAAAAACAACAAAAAAAAGTTACCTCAACTAAGAAGTGCACAAAAATTGTTACTATTTTTTTCTCACTAAGTCATTCAAAAATCATATTCTTATACCTGTTCAGCTCTTGGGACTTTCATCCTCCTCATGCCAAATTCAAGACTAATTTAGGGACATGCTGAGCACTGAGCACTTTATATCACTATTTTCCTAAAGCAAAATTTTTAAAATTTGGTTTATCATAGATATTTATTAAAGGAACCAATGAACAAACAGTAGAATGAGAGAAAAGACAATCATATAATATTGTACTCACCTCAATAACTGCCAGCCCAAACGCGATTCCAATAACTATGAAAATGTGTTTTTCAACCGACTCTTTTATCAAAGAAATGCATGTCTGTTTTTAAAAAAATCACGCCAACAGTTACTTTTAAAGCTGGGCCTGGTGGCACAAGCCTGTAATCCCAGCACTCTGATAAGCAAAGGCCAAAGGATTATAAATTTCAGCTCAGTCTGGGGAATTTTGCAATTTAGCCAGATCAAGTCTTAAAATTTAAAGTGTGTTGGGAATGTACTTTCATACAAAGCCCCTGGCTTGATCACCAGTATAACAAAAAAGAAGTCTTTAATTATAAATAATATTCTTTCACAAATTTTTCCAGATTATAAAGCAACTGGGAAGCAGTTTTTCTTAAACAACCTAGTTGCTAAAACTAGGATTGAGGATTATAAATGATGTTTTCTCCAACACCAAAATTATATTTTTTATCATTTAAAAATTATAAACAATAATTTTATCCTAAATTCAGGTTATTCATTATGCAACTTATATCATCTTGACTGAAATTTTTAGGTTTGTAGTCTACCACAAAGAGGTACTTAACTAAAATTTTTGTTAATTATATAGCAAAGTACTATTTTGAAAAAAGTGAATTTTCAAAATCTTTTTTCTTTCATTCTCTCTTTTTTTTTCCCATTGTTGTCTTTTGAGACAGGTTCTCTTATGCAGTTCAGCTTGACCTTGAGCTCACTTTGTAGCCCAGGCTGGTCTCAAAATCACAATGATCCTCCTGCCTCAGCCTTCTGAGTGGTGGGATTATAGGCAAGCACCCCCTTTCATGGCTGCAAAATCTGTAAATAACATTTACGGGGCTATTTTTACCTTGAAAGGAAAATATTATTATGCTTATCATTATTACAGCATTTCTGATAAAGATAAGAATTTAGAAATGTGATTTGCTATGTTTTTGAAATGTATTCAAACCAACATGAAATTCCAAATTTAAAGCAATTTGGAACAAATCTAATAACTTCAGCAATTTTAAATTATCATTTTTAAATTAAAAAATACTACACAATGAAATTTTAATATTGATTGCATTGCTCTGAAACAAATCATTCCTATGATAGTCATGTATATGCAAAAGAATAATGAAACATTGCTGCTTGCTACATTTAAGTATTTTATACGGTTATCTTTTCTGTCTTCGTTCTTGAACTTAAGGGGTTTCCCCATTTACATCTGATTTAAAGTAATAAGCATTTGAGGAAATTGTCATGTCATTTAGAGTTAATTATAAGATTAGTGACTATACATACAAAGTCACATGTATTATATTTGAAAGAGTTTTTCTTTTCATTTCCCCAAGATAATGCAGTTATCTTCACAAAAGGGAGGGGATAGAAAAGAAAAAAGAAACAGAGGGAAGAAAGAAAAAACAAAAATGCTGAAAGAAAAAAAGAAGAAGAAAAATAAATTCTAATTTTTTTATTTTTTCAGATTTCTTACAAATGACACATGATAGATGGAGATTTTTGGTGAATGTATAATCATCCTTTTGGGAAACTTGATTGGCTATTAGCATATATTTAGTTGTATTATATGTGAATTTTCAGGAAATGTGTATGGGAGGGCTTTCAGAATCTATCTTTAGTAAAATATCTTTGCATTGAATCTTTAGCAGGAGATAAACATTAACTTGCAATTGAACTTAATTTTTTTTATTATCCAAGAGGAAACTACATTCATTTGTACCATATTTATTTCTTTATAGACACTATATCAAAAAAACTAAGTAGGCAACAGGAGAGCAGAGAAGTATAAAAAGTGAGAATAAAAATTTAGTGATTACTTTGACAGTTTACTACATGCTCAGATTGTATTCTAGCAAATAACATCTCCCCCTGAGTGATATCAGATACTAATGATAGCAATTCTGTTGCAGAATAAAGCTTCTTTAATTTTGATAAGATCCATAATAAGATCACTGATCAGGAGGAGGGCAGTGTAGCCTGAGATACTTTACTATAGTCCTCTGATTCACAAACTTAATTCATTGCATGAATCCGGGGAAGATGTCGTGGTAGTATTTATTACCTGATGAGCAGTTTGCAAACAGAAGTAAACTTTTACCAAATGCTTCTGTTTGTGAACCAAATTTTTTGTGAACAGAAGTGTTCATAAGCCAAGGTACTATTTGTATTTTCTTTTATATATTACCTTTTGTTAATAATTACTGAACTAAAACAATGCTAGTTTGAAAATAACCTATAAGTATTCTGTAAATTAATTCATTGTGAATTATGACAGTTTTTATGTATCTCTCTCCCAACTAAGTAGATCACAATCTCCAGAAGATCCAAAAGTTTGTCTATTTTTAGGAAGAATATATCTGATAGAGAACAGGCACTGAAGAAAAATAGCAAATGAATGAAACACTTATATCTACTGTCATTTGTGTACCCATTCTTTTCCAACCAAAGGGACAGCTTATGATAAGTTCTGCAATGAAAGGTAAATCTTTTGACCTCCATGAAGTTGTATCCTGAATTTCAAAGCTTAGTTAGATGGAGACCAATAAAACCTGTGTCTGCACGTGCCCAAGCAACACCAATAGTCCATTTGGATTAAAGTTGCCTGATAGTCTACCTCTCTTCTTTATTTAAACATAAGCTCATGACTATAGACATAGTACCCTATTTGGAATGGATTTCCAGGGACTAATAAAAGGCCTACACTATCAGAATGGTCTACAAACAGTTGATGACTTGATCAATAAAAAGAAATATATCAACAGTGTATCACTGTACATACTTCATATAAACATGATATCTGAAACACATAAAATATAAACTCATGTTTTCAAATTGACTTTAAAATTTCATGCACTTCAACTGCAATAATTACTAGGTAAATTAATAGATACAGTCAAGACTGACAACCCCAACCACTAAATGCTAAATCTTTTCTTAATACTTATACAGCTTCTTGGAAAAAAAAATCTTCTTTGTGTGGTACTGGGGATTGAACCCAAAGGCATTCTACCATGGAACTATATCAACAGCATTTTTTGTTTTTTATTATAAAACAGGAGACATGTTCTCATTAAGTTGCCTAGAAAGACTCAAACTTGCAATCCTCTTGCCTCAGCCTTCCTACACACTGAAATTACAAATATGCATGCCCACTGTGCCCTATTGAAAAAAAGAAATCACTTATTACAAAAAAAGTTTGACTTTTAAAATTAAAGTTAAAATACTGATTTCTTGGATTTAAAACACAAAATTATTTAGAGAAAATTATTTATATAAAATTATATTAGTTTGTATCTTGCCTTTTACCATACAGTGTTACTTTGATCTTTTTTTTTTTTTAATTTAAGAGGAAAAAAGAGAAAAACACAAAACAAAACAAAACAAAGCGGTGTAAGGGTACACGTAATACAGAACTACAAAAAAAAAAATAACAGTAAGAAATCACCTGTTATTAGATCTAAATGATGGGAAACTCATTGAACTAATAAAATATTTCAAATTTTTATATTTGCTTTATAGTTTAATACAGTTTTTTTAAAATTTGGGTAATTTCTGAGATTTTCATATCGTGATTCTCAAAGTATTTGATGATTTCAATTTTTTCTGTAGACTTACATTAGACAAAGAAAATAACTGAGCCACTTACTGTGCCAGGTTCGATTTAGTACTTACCTCCTTATAAACATATTTTGATTTATATGATATACAATTCCTTGATGAATTAACACAGGCACAAGACTCGTAGATTGAGTCAAAATTACTTCCCCAATCTGCAGCTCCATTAACCAAACCACAGCATTCAAACTGTTTGGTGAAAATGAGTGGAAAAATAGTCACCAAAAGTTTAAAACATTATAAATATAATTATTATATTTGTGAATATCTTTGTGAAGACAATTCTTATGCTGAAATATAATACGAGTCACCTTTCCCTCTTCTCTAAATGTAGCAAAAAAGTGAATTTTTTTTTTTCGTTTTGATCCTAATAGTAACAGGAAACATTGGACTACAATGTTAAAGTCTGAATTAAAATTCATAGAGGTATCTGATAAACACTACAGTTAATTTAGGATTGGGACTAATGATTAATAATAAGCATGAGAAACTGAAAGAGTAAATAAGGTCCAAATGTAAAATCGATATTGTGAAATGAGAAAAAAAATTGTTCAAAAGGAAAAAGGAATGGGAATGGGGAAAGGAGAAAAGAAGGGAGGGAAAAGGACACAAAACACAAGATGGTTACACAACTAGTTTCTCTTAGTTCAGTGAAAAGGAAAGTTTGTGCTAATATCGCTTGAAGAAATTTTGAAGCCCGTTTCTTATAGTCTGATTAACTACTTTGAAGACAACGATGCTCAATGTATTGTAATTGTCCCACTATTTGTCATAAATCATTTTGTTTTACTTTTTTTTTTTTTTTTTTTTTTTTTTTTTTTTTTTTGTCTTTTTCGTTTTTATCGGTACCAGGGACTGAACTCACGACTGCCTGCTTGCAAGGAGTTTTACTTTTTTTTTTTTTGCCATAAAAAGTACTGCAAAGCAGAAGAATCTAGTTTCAAAGACAGTCCAACAATGAATTTAACCTAGCAAATTGCTTTTAAAACCTTGCCTTTTAGTTTTAATGACAGAAGAGAGAGCAGAGTCATATGCACTTATCTTAAATTTTGGCAAAAGGAGCTTCCAAAGAGAGCGTGAGAGAGTTAAGGTCTAATTAAAGAACTGTTATTCAAAAGACGTGAAAAGTTTTTAACCACAAAATCTCCATCACACGATATCTGATCACTTTTGGAAAACAGGAGGCAAAGGATGGAAAGCACCTCAAAGACCAAAGGGGCACTTCAGGAGGCTCCCCAGGCTGAATCTTTGTGAATATTCAATATAATGAAAGAGCACAAGTAAGGCTCTGACTAATGACAGAAAGAGCAAGGCTGAAAAATAAACTAAAACCTGGCGAAGTATGAAAGGCAACTAGAGTCATGTTTGAGGAAAGAAAACTGTAAGTGATAAGCCCAGTGAGTCAGCACATAAGGCACATAATATTGTTAGATGAAAAAGAGGAAAGTCATTATCCCTCATCTAGCTCCTAACTGCTGCATTAGGGAGAAGATCGTTAATTCAGGAAAGGGAGGAAGCAAGTGCTAAAGAAAACGGCCACCCTTCAGTGGTCTCTTCCAGGCTTTAAAGCATTGAAGTGCAAGAGAACTGAGAGAACTTTTACTTTCCGGCTGGGTAAGGATGTTAGATGCTAACCACATTACTTAAACGTCTCTGTGCTATAATTTGTCATCTGTCAAGTACAGATAAGAATAGTTGCTAATAATATCATCTAATTTGGAGATTTGTTGTAAAGGCAATGAGAAAATTTATGTGATGTTTGGAATGCTCAGCCCAGTGCTTGGTTTATACAAAGTGCTCAAAAATATGAATTAGCTGCTGTAATTTGATTTCATTTTTAAACTATTATGGTCATTATTAGTATTTTTGCTATGTTTTCATGTGAACATGAGCTTTTCAACATTCTTATCGATTGTTTGTATAAAGACATAGAAGTATCTGTTCAACACTACAGTTGATTTAAAGTTGGGTGTATTGATTAATATGTCACAGAACAGAATCTAGTTTCAAAGATGGCCCAATAATGAATTTAAACTAAAGTCCAACTAAGGCAAGTATAAAGGTTTGAACATTGGCCCACAGATGGAATTGCAAAGGATTGGAAATTTCAGGTAGCTCCAAAATAAATATTAACAAGGAGGACAGTCCTGAAACAACCTCCTTTCCTGTCCCATGGTAGACATGACTAAATGTTTACACTTCCTCATTACATAATGTTGAATCATTTTATAGAAACTCTGTATAAAATAGGAATAAATCCCCTGTATTCACCTACAGATCACTACCTATTTAAAATACAATATAGCTCTGTATCCTTAGGGAGGCAGAAGGGAAATACAGTAGGAGCTAGCAAGACTGTAAAGTTTTTCTGCGGTTTACATCATCAGTGGAAAAAGGTAGGGAAGAAATTTGACAGAACTTAATGAACCCTGAATAGTAGTTGGGTGAAAAAATCATTATGCAGTAAGTTATGGAGCACCTCTTGACAAATAGTTATCACTAATCCATAACAGGCATATTCCATCAAGTGTTAAAGGAAATTTGTGTGGAAATTTCCTGAAATCCAAAGAGAAAGCCACTCAGGGTCTGCAACTGTCTATGTGTACAGTATCCCAGAGTTTATGGTTTAGAGACAGGCTCTTTCCCCCAAAGAAGTATAATTTAAAAAAAAAAACAAAATGAATAAATGAACAGAAAACAAAAACAAACTCAAAAAGTATAGTAAGAAAGAGATACTGCCTGTAAACACAAGAGTTTCAGAATACAATTTCAGCACAAAATGAGAACATGTTAAGAGAACGTTCTACAACAAACAGAACATTCAGAAACCTTAAGTTCCAGGAATAATGTGCAGCGAAAATGACTCAAGACATAACCCAGAAGCTCAGTGGTTACCTCTCATCCATTATTTCTTGGAGGGTCATAAAGCTTAGCTCCACCCCGGGAAAGAAATGTGGTTGTGTAAATTCTTACTGCAATAACTATTGGTTTTTACTCTAGAGTGGGAATGATTCAGGAGAAGACATAACTTCCCTTTACGGAAGTTAGGGGAAAAGCAAAAAATGTAGGAAATTAAACAAGGACTGACATATCAGGTTTTAGTTCTTGGAAATAATGCTTTCAATAGACTATTTTATAAGTTGTGGTAAATCCAAATAGGAACTGCTAAATGCTCTTGGGAAACAATGTCATCTGATAAATAACTCCCCAAAAGTTAAGGATGTTCCAACTTGAAAGGCAAAACTTTAAAGTTAAGCAACAGCAATTTTCAAAAGTTTGCCATGTGTAGGAGCATTGAGAGTATGTGTTTCTCCTTTTAAACCCTAGAAGAACTGGACTAAATGACATGAATTCTAGAGACAGATTTTATTTGAAAGTAAGAAAGAACCCAGTCATGATCAGACTTAAATATAAGTGGGACAGGTAAAAATAACTTATAACTTTTTGATATCTACTGGTGAATGCATAAATCAATCAATGAAAAGTCAGAATAAATGACCTATGAAACCCAGCCCTCCACTAAGATTCTGAAAATTCCCATGACATAACTGAAGTGACTGCCACTAGTAGTTACCATGCTAGGAATTCTGGGTTAGAAATATGTAGCTAAGAAGACTTTCACAGAGTAGTTATAGTTTAGTCAAGCCTTCAAGTGCATGAATTCAGAAAGAAAGAGAAAAACAGTAAATGTGTTCCCAGTGTGAAGAATCGTGCAAGGGCAGAAAGACAGTTGCTCAAGGGACCTTGAATTGACAAACCTGGCTGGACATGATTCATAATTGAATTGTGTTTAACAAAGTTAAAAGACTGGGTAAGGGTCAGATAGACTACCATCAGTGCCTGCCCAAGTTTTTATTCCAAAGACAAAAATAGAGAGACATACAGACAGACACAGAGAGATAGGGACAGACAGATAATGAGTGAGAGACAGGAGACAGGACAGAGAGAGAGAGAGAGAGAGAGAGAGAGAGAGAGAAGGGAGAGGAGAGGAGGAAGGGAGAGTAAAGGAGGAGAGAGGAGAGAAGAGGAGAGGAGAGCAGAGGAGAGGAGAGGAGAGGAGAGGAGAGGAGAGGAGAGGAGAGGAGAGGAGAGGAGAAAAAAAAGGAGGGCTAGTGTACACATTAAAAAAGTAATAGACTGATCAGACAGATATGGAATTAAATTTCAATTCCATCACCACTTGTTAGTTGCAAAACCTAAGTCCCAGTCTCTTTATCTGTAAAAGAAAATCCATGAAAAGATGATACCACCATCTGCTATGGTTTGGGTATGGTTTAAGTGTGTTCCTTAAAGTTTCATGTGCTGGAAACCCCTGCATACTAGGGAGGAACTTTTAAGAAGCAGGGTCTACTTAAGTCAAGATAAATCGATTACAGCTGATCTACAGAATTGGGTAAGTCCTGCAGGAGTGAGCTTGTTTCTAAGAGATGAGTTATTGCACAAGAGTGACACCGGCTCCTGACATCTTGTTCCCTGTTTAATCATGTGATCTCGCCTAGCCCTGCTCTCATCATTAGATGTCATCCTCCATAAGACCTCATCAGAGCTCAGTAAGTGATGTTGTTGTGCCCGCAAATCTTTAAAACTGTGAACTAAATAAATCTCCTTTGTTTATAAAATACTTAGCCTCAAGCGACTTGTTATAGTCACACAAAATAGACTATACCACTGCCTTTTTGCATATTAAGTGAGCTACTGTCTGTAATGTGATCAAAAGTAAATAGTAGTAAATATTAGTTATATTCACTCTATGGAGGCAGAGAGACACAGACAGACAGACTCCCCAAACACATACTCTTTTATATGGTAAATATTAAAACAATTATTGATTGAACTAATTAAAGCTCAACCTATCATAAACATATCTTTTTAATTTTTGTCCTAAACTGCTACAAGACTTCATAAGAAGATGGAAAAAATTATAAATATTCTTGAATTTGTCTTATTGCACAGTACCAGAATACTCCAATTCTGCAAAATGGAAACACTTTAAATCAGTAAGGCCTAAGCTACTTAAAAAAATCAAACAGTGAAGAGCTATGTCTCACTCCCCAAATGACCTACAGATCTAATTACCTTTTTTTGAAATGTAGTCATGGCTTCCCGGAATTTTTTTCCACTATCTCCTGTTTCCATCAAAACCTTTACATTTTCATAGAGAGTTTCATTCAGAATGCGTTTAGTCTGAAAATTGAAAATCATTGTTAAATTAATCATATCAGGAAGTAGTATTTCAATGTTTTAGACTTTTCAAAGTGATCAAACATCAGCATGCACGCACCTCAGACTTGGAAGTAGCTCCTAGGATGCCTGCAGCCACCTGCAGGAGCAGGATGAGAAGCAAGCCTATGAAGAACTGGAAAAGAAGAGGGGAGAAAACAATACACTCTCATCCTCAGTGCACTCAGTAACATCTGAGGCATCGGACATGGCACTGCCCTTAGCAGCAGGGCTTGTTTCAAGTCGGAGCCAGAGCCAGCCTTCCTATATTCCACCCTGTGCATCAAGCTATCAGTTTTGACCCATTACAAGTCAGAAACATTTCCTCCAAAAATTTGCCAAGGAAAGCATTTTAAATGGGATTTTATTGAAGGAATGTTGGTGTCTGTGTGATATAAGGGAAGATTTAAAACTTAAATGAATTTTTTTAATATTATTTTTCTTCTTTTTTATCAGATGCAAACACACAACTGGCTTCCAAACATCTGGCTTCAAAACAGTATTCCCACCATTACTGAATCCAGGGTCATCTTGTTTTTTATGTAAATTTCTGAAATCTCCTTCACATCTACATAAATTATAATTTTGGAGAGTGTAATCCACTAATTAATTTTTTGTTTTTGTTTTGCTTGTTTGTTTACTTGTTGGCTGTTTAAATAGAATTTACAAGTAAATTTCCTGAACTGCAAATGAAACCTTGTTACTTATAAAGCAACCACTAAGCATACTGTTAAGGTCTTGTTAAACTGCCTCTGCCTCTCTCACAAAGGTAAAAAATATTTTCGGGAACTGACACCATCCTTATTTTATGATAGAAATAATTGTATAATGATTCTGATTAACTCATGTCAGGTTTATACCTGATAAACACTCGATTTTTTTCTACATATATCCATTCATTATTTTCTACAATATGTTAAAAATGAATGCCTGTAGGTAGTCCACCTTAATCTAGCCTCCTGAAAACTTCATTAAGTCATACAATGTTCTTACAATGTTCTTAGCATGGCATATAGTAAGCTGCATGATTTGATCACAATTCACATTCAAACTATCTTCCATCACTTACTGAAAACAGTTTCCAGCACTCTTAAGCCACACCCAAGGCCCACCTGTTCCCAAACAAGCCAGCAATGGGCTGACCGCCAGTTTATCTTTCTGAACATATCACACTGTCACCTATACAGATAATCTTTCACCTACTCTGGCTTAAAAGTTCCCTCTTCTATCTTTGTCCTTCTCTTTGGGGTCACTCAGTCCCACCCAAGCTATCTGTTTACTTATTTTTAACCCTCCCTGATGGGTTCTAGTTTTTTTTTTTTTTTAAGAGCTTGTGTACATGTAGCACAGTATCTGGCCCTTAGAAGTGTGCTGTCACGTCTCATGAAAGAATGAATGAAAGATTAACATTTAGCTTCTTGGAGACTGTCCTCTAGTCTAAGTCAAACTAAGATAAATCTAAACCCTAGTACCTTCCACAATCAAATCCTCTAAGCAGAAATGAGCATTCATCAATCTTGTCAAATCCTGTTGACGGATAACAGGGACAAGAGATAATCCTCAGATATCTAAAGGTTAAATATTGGAATTTGTCTTGAGAACCCACCAAGAGAAGCATGCAACGGCTTTCTTTCACGGCACCACAGCATCCCAGGAACCCCAGGATCATGATAATGGCACCCACAGCAATCAGGATATTTGTAGCAATAAAGGGGTTGACATCAGAATTTCCAGCACTGAAAACCTGGGAATAAAAATGAAGATGAATGACACATTTCTTTCTTTGATATTGACTTTATCACTTAACAAATACCAATTAGGTACCTACTATGTGTTTTTGGGACTTTGAAATACTGCCAAGCAAAATTTCCTGCCCTCTGGAGCTTAGAGATTGCACATTCCTAAACAATGTTTCCAATTTTAAGTCATTCTAAAATGATATGTTAGGAATTGAATGAAAGAAATGTCATGGGTCTTTTAAAACTTTTTAAAAGCTTAAAATGACAGGTACTTTCAATGTAATTTTTTGGTTCACACACTTTGCATTTTATGTATAAAACAGCATTATAAATCACATTCAGTGACAATTTTAAAAAACCAGGCACTCATCAAAGCACTTAATGACACAATATTAATAAATCTCAGAATCATCATGTTGAGTTCAAGAAGCCATACTTGAAAGAGTAAATATCGTGTGAGTCCAGTTACAAGTAAAAGCATAGTGATAAAAATCAAAGTGTTTGCCTTTGAGCAAAGTAGGAAGGAAGGCAGAAATTGACTAAAAAGGGATGGCATGGAAGTTTCATAAATTAATAAAAAGTCTTTGTATTTTGTCTTTTAAAAACAGTGCAGTCCCTGAAATTCCGTATCAGTCTTCTCACCCTCAGAAGGAAAAGTCCTTCCAGAAGCTGGTCATTTCATCAACTGCTGGTGATGAATAACAGGATATTGCGGGAAGTATCCTCGGGCCCTTTATGACGGATGGGCTACCCTTCAGCATAACTCAGTTCTTCCCCGCAACACAGAGATACTCTTCTTCGTTGCTCTCCCAACACTTAATCATGGCCTACCCTCATTCCATTATGAATGTGCAGTAATCAGTCACAATTAAACAGCAAGAACTTGTTCTTACATTCTACTTCTTCCCTGCCTCTAGCTCACTTGTCTCCTACAGCCTCTACCTAAAGGACTGTCTCTGAAGACCACTAGTGCCTCTGCCAGCTGACTCTGTCTCCCACAATCTGTCATACAGCGTGTGGGTCACAGCCACCTTGCTGATTTGGAAGAACACAGGCAACTGAAGTAAAGAAAGTACTTAATGCTCTTAAGAAAGAAAGAACTTACTGTTCAATAGATTTTGCAGACCTAAAGCCATCAGTCTGAGCATTTATTTAAAGGATAACAGTATGAAATATAGTAACTATTGTGGATTTATTACTGTATTATTTTTGCCAATATCATTCTCATTGTTTTGTTGTTTCATTTTATTATTTTGTTTTATTACCTTTAAAATAATAATTTAGAAAATCCATTCATGATCTACAAGAAACCTTCCGCAATCATAAATAGGAGGGAACGTGCTGAGATCGCACAAACATTAAAACAAACATGTTTTTTTTATTCAGAGTCCTAGAAACTACTCAGAGTCCTAGAAACAACTAAGATAGTCAGGTAACCTGCTGGGCTCCAGCTTTCCATTTATAGAAAAATGTGTCAGCCCTGTGTTTTTTAAAGCTTTCTTTGTCTCTAAAACTTTGTGCCAACAGCTAACATTTCAAGCTACACAATTAGAAAGTTTGGTTATGTGCTAAAGATTTTTGCTGGTTTAGCAGATATTTGTACTTGTTTTATTGTTAAGAGAAACTAAGAGGCACCTCCTGTGAATTGGCAGAAGACTTGCTGGGTCTGGGAGGAGCCCATTAAGAAGAAGAAGAAGCCAATTAGCTCTTGCAGTAAACCTCACAAGCAAGTCATAGGGGCCCCAGGAAGAGAAAAGCCAGAAAACATTGCCCATGAGGCTATCAGCACACAGGCAAAGAATCAAGAATTGCCCACTAAACCTTGAAAGCAACCCACAGTTTGGAGGACAGAGTGGGTTGATAGCAACTGGTGTACAAAAGCACCTGAATGCTTGTATGGTCTGACTGACTGCAGGTCCAGGACAATGGTGTGAGCATCTACTGGGAGGATAACAGTATGCAGTGTAGCAAATATAGGGGATTTCCTCCTATCTTGTTTTTGAAATTCAATATGGTTTCACTGTTTCGTTTTGTTCCAGTTTATTGTTTTGCTTTATTCAATGTTCTGCTTTGATTGGTTTTATTCTGTTTTGTTTGGTTTGATTTTGCTATGTCTGATGGAATGGACAACTATTGTGACAATAACAAAAAATACTATGGTTGATTGTTGATTTTCTTCTATCCTTCTTCAAAGTTCTGTACTAATTTCACTGCTTTGTTTTGATTGACTTTGTTCTGTTTTGTTTTACTGAGTTTTATTATCTTTAAAATAAAATTAAAAAAAGAAAAAAAGGTTAGAGCTAAGTAGTTCCTGTTGTTAATAAGCAGGCATAACATCTGAATTAAAATAGATGTGACATAAAAGCAGCCTTTAAAAAAGCAGCTGTATCAGTCCACTGCTAAATACATTCACAAGAGCATTGCAACCAGGACAGGCAAACTCTAAGGCATCTGAGAGCGTAGAAGTCATTCTTACTGGATTATCAGATCTTCAAATAGTTTATCCAGACTTATCCAGACTAATATCTAGAATAATAGATCAAACAACTACACAGGAGACCTGTGTACTGAAGTTGGCCCCTGGGCAGCAGCGGATGACATGCTTCACTGAGACTGACCAGGGCATGGGAACCCACTGTGAGAGACTGACCAGGAAGCTGTGAGTGGACTGCCTGGCAGGCACTGTTTCCAAGTCCAGCCCAACAAAAGGCTGGAATACATGGAAGAATGAAGTGAAATTCTGAGTTCAGATGTTTGCTCCAGCACAGACACAGCAGGATTTTAAAGATGAACACTCTCTGTGTGTCCTAAGAGAAGAGGAGAGTTTCTAAAGAAAAGGGACTGGTAGGCCTAAAAGGATTCTGAAAGCATCTTTGGATTAGAAGGGATTTCCAGGGGCAAAGATGGTCTCCTATAAGCCTTACCTCCTGGTGCTGAGTTTATCTTCAAGGGGAAAAAAGTGTCCCTCTGAGACACTCCAGCAAAAAGAGATGGCATTTCGCTGATATCCTCTTTTTGCATTTATCCTCATGCTTTCCCTTCTAAAGCTGCTACCTCTGTTTTTCTGGTAATAAAATTTAGCTCTTCCCTCAGTTTTGATTTTTTTGTCACTAACTTCAGGGAAATATAAATCAAGCCAATTTCAAATACATCAGGCTGGGTAATTCTGACTTGGTCATGACGAGGGGCAAACAGAGCACGACTTAAAATATAACTGTAGATGCAGTCTGGCTCTATTAGCTCATTCCCATCCCCAGATGTGGAGTCACACTCTTTCAAGGACTACACCTCTCCTTTAATTTGTTCAATGTGTGTAATTTCTTAACAGACTAAACACTAAATTTGTTTACCAAAAATGCTGGGGGGAAAAAAATACTCACCAGAAATAAAAGAATGAAATAGAATAAAATGCAGGCTGCACACACATCTTTAAAAGACAGCCAAGATTTAATGGCTGCTACCTCTCTGCTTAATTTGGAGTCCCAAAGGCAGTCAGATTCGGCACACCTTCACCTTCCTTGGGCTGGGACATCAGATCTCTGGGCCATCAGCAAGTCAGAGTTCATTAATATAAATAATAAATGTGATTTGGAGAAACTCATATCATACAGACTACTTGCCACACCCACCCCACCCACTTTCTTTTTCATGGTAAGGCATAAAATGAAGAATCAGCTAACTTCCTCTAAGACTCTCTGGGTTCTCTTGGGGAATAAGGGGAGATTGGTTTCCAGAATAGCCAAGCACTTCGGGAAAGGAAGCAGAACAGATGTTAATTTGTTTTTAAACTTTCTTCCCACCAGGGTGTCTCCAAAGGCATTTAACTGCACCACAGGATAATAAATTCTAAGAGAATATGCATGGTCTTCATTGTTGATTTAATATTATCTTTGTAATTATCAAAAAGGACTCAAACTTCTTCTTCTTCTTCTTAAGAAAGGGAGACTCTCTTCATTTGGGCAGAATCTTGGAAACCCTGTAGCAACCAAATATATGATTTGGAAGAGTGACAAGAGCTAAGCAACCAGAAAGAACAAGTAAACCACTCAGTAGGAGGTAAGAATAGTAAATTTGAAGCAAAGGTGCTGCTGAAAAAGAGAAGGGAGAGAAAAGAATGGAAGCAATAGGGTTGAGCGTGGCATTATGTAGTACACATGTAGAAGAAACTGACAGAGCAACTGACCCACAAACTCCCCCCTTTCCCTTTCCTTTTGTGTTTGTGACACTGTGGTATGGAAGAGAAATAACACCTGTGGCATCCAAAAGCTCGAGCTAGAACTCATCCAATGAATTAAACTTCTTCTATACTTGGGGAAATATTGCCAAAAGCTTTGTCCCTGGGCATCAAATGGAGTGTGATGGGCAAAACAGGCCATCTTACACAGATAACAAGAAGTGAGGTCGTCTCCCACTAACAAGAGAGTTACACTAGCATGATCAGCCCTTGTTGCTGAAGGGATTGTCCTTAATGCCAGTTGCTGTAGGCAAATACCAACTATCCTTGTGTGTTGATGCCTTTAAAATATACAAGATTTTGTTTGATATTTTGAATCTTTGATATTTTGATTCTTCATCAATAGAATTTCTCACATTTTTTCTCTTTTAGATCAACCAAAAGTTTAGCTAATTTATGGTCAGTTATAGAAATTGTTCTCTTAAGAAGAGGTTGTTTATATTCTCAAACTGGCCTAAAAGAAATACTGAAAGAGGCAAATTTCCACTGTTACTGAAATCTTCCTAGTTTTGAGACAACACCTCCTCCGTTCTTCAGAGTGATTGTTTCTTGCCTAGCACAATGTGAGGCACATAATAAGCAACTATTAATTCATATAACATCACAAAAAATTACATGAAGCCATTAATAAAAATATTACAAAAATATATTTTTATTATTTTCAAAATTACTTTCATTATTGTACAAGAAGTCATCTACTTTATTTATGTATATTTACCTCGTTACCATCTTTGCTTACTCGTATCCATATTGCTATTCCCAGGATTAAGGTACCACATAGCTGCAGAAGAAAAACAAACAATGTCAGAGTACAATTAAGATAAAATAAAACACTGAAGTCACATAATCTGTCTATCTGGTTGCAGTAGTTTATCAATAACTATTCCGTCACAGCCTAACAGATAAATGAGGCACATTTCACATACAGATGATTGCTGAATTGTTCCACTGTGACTCATAAATCTAATAAGAATAACCACTTCTCACTCACTGCCATTTATAGACCTATAGACAAGTACCCATCTTTATAAGGCAGGAAATGATATTTCTCCGGATTTAATTGTAATTTTTTTTGCTAGATTACAAAAGGTAAGTTAAAATAGTTTCAAGAGGAAATATTCTTAGTATGCCCTTCTTTTGACCTCAGTGAAATTATTCTGCGCTAAAATGGGAAGGGAATAACTGACTAGTCATTCAAAATTAGTCATTCAAGATTCAAGAGGGAGACTGACTTTTGATTCCATAGAAAACAGTAGGGCACTAGATAAAATGTGCAGCTGCACAACAAGGGAGTATAGTAACTGATACCTTTTGAACTCAAACAAACTTTTAAAAATAAGTTCTTTTAGGTGGTGAAGTTTACATAGAGAGAAAGAACAATGGAAACCAGTACTTAGTCTTAAATTCCTTTAATGGCTTTACCAGATTATTTAATTTGGATGAAGGCCAACAATAAAATGTGAAACACATTGTACTTTAGTGTAAGGAAAACCTTGTCTTTCAGGGTTAAAACAAGATATACAATGCGGGCTTAAAATAAATCAAAGATGTATTATTAGATAGATATGTTGAGAGCAGCTTGGTAACATACCAGACACTGCATGTCTTAGAGAACTTTCTAGATGTTTCTTATTTTTCCAATCTGTGACATGGAAGTATCCGAGTCCCCCAAAGCCCATAACCTTGGAGCATCATTGTTTTCAGGCACGATTGAGGCTGTGCCCAGAATCACCGCCCCCGGCATCACTTTTAATAGTTTCTCATTAGGTTTGCAGTAGAAATAAGGTCAAGAGCTTTATAAAGGAGTGGGAGTACAATGCATTGCTAAATAGCCATAAACTCTGGACTCCCTAAAAGATCTCAAAAATCATCTATGTCCAAACTCTTCATTGTGGCTCTTTAAAAAATTCGAATTCTGAAAGATTATAGTCACATCCAGAAAATTTAGAGCAGGTCCTAATCAATTTGCCCGTACTACTTAATCATGAAGTGCATAATTCAATTTCTGCAAATAATTCTAATTATTCTAATATGCTATTTTTGTCTCCTCCTTCCCTCTCACCCTCCTCTCTCTCTCTCTCTCTCTCTCTCTCTCTCTCTCTCTCTCTCTCTCTCTCTTTCTCTCTCTCTCTCTGTAGCACAAACTATTAAACAAGACAGCTTTAGAGTTTAAAAACTTCTCCCAAGGCTTTACCCTTACCTCCTTCCACTAAATCCCTAACTTCACTTTTAAATGGAGATAAACGTTCATTTTAGCATTTTTTGTCAATAAATTTGTGAGGATTTATACCAGATGATATTGAGATGCTTCAGGATTTTTAGTGATTTTAGTGTATGTGCTTCTGAATTGAGTATGTTTTCAGTAACTTTATACCTGCTGGATTTATTCTTATTTGACTTGCCTTCTTATAGTTTCTGTCTTTTTATTCTCCTTTGACACATACATTTACAACAATTGTCTTCATAGTTGCTCTGGCCTTTAGCTTTACTAAAAGCAATATTAAATATCCAGTAGGTATTGTGATTACCAATTTTATGTGGTATTTATGAAGCTGAAAGATAATGTTAAGAAGTCTCAGAGTGTTATATTTTTGACACTTTAACTTTTCTTAAAAATTTTTGACACTTAAATTTTTGAATATTATTATTTGTTCCATGTTTCTTCCACTTTAGACAAAAATTCTTTTAGGGATATTGAAACTGGCTAAACTCTGTTTTCCATTCTGATTTCTATCCTTATTTTTCAAATTTCAACACAAAATAAGCATTTAAAATATATTATTTTCATTGTGTTGAAGAATTCACATATAAGATCACAGTTTTAATATCATAAGATTAGTTTTATATTTATCTAGTATAGATACCTTTTAACATTGTATCAGAGCAGGAACTTTTATCTACATGAACATATAATTTAGCTCCACATACATGTACATATCATTTTGACAATTATTTTTCTTCTATTTGTTTTGTGCTTCAAGAAAACAATTTGTTTTGAGTTCTCATTCTCTGTACTCTGCATCTATCTTCTTGCTTTATTTTTATTTATACATCAATATTTCTAATGTTGTCTATGCTGCATTTTAATTCTGCTGTTGCATTTCTAGTTTAAGTCCTTGTTTATTTCCTTATTTCAATTAAATTTGTCATGTCTTATGACCTCCAATCAGTCTCATGGTTGGCATGGAGGTTATTTTCAGGCATGAACTTAGTGGATACTGATTTCCAGATAGATTTTCAGAATTCTGCTGTGTTTTTCATCAGAGATGTGTGTCTGTCCTACAAGTTATCAGAGTGGTATTATCTTCCATTTAGTCAACAGTACTTCTTACCTGGCCTTATTCTAAATTTCCCTTATTCATCATTGAATAGGATGAGGCCTATTTGAATTTATTATTCATTAAGAGCAGGATGGTTGCTTTGCTCTCCTCTCTAATGACCAGGGTTAATGTAATTCTGAGATCTTCTGTGAGAGGAAACATTACTGTGCATTCCCTTTACAGATATGACCTAAAGTAACTCTGATTTACTTAGATAGTCTCCAGTCTTCATGCAACATCCGATTTCCTAATGCGCTGAACCAGTGAGGTGAATTACAATCTTCAGTCTTTAACAGACATTGATGTCATGGATTTTTCCTTAACTTCATCTCCAAATGAAAGTTTATTGCATCAATGAATATTAAATACACAGTATATATGTTCCTGTGATTGCATTTCTATACACTTTCTAGATCTACTAAATAAATCAAAAACCCAGTGATAGCAATGGAAATTCTAATTTTTCAATATCTCTAAATTTATACACATAAAAAAATCAGTCACCTTTCTTGTTGAAATAAACTGGTGCTGGTAAACACTAAATCACTAAAATTCATATGGCTTCAAAATATGTAAAAAGAGATGAATCTTCAGAATTTTCTCTACATACAATTGTTTTATCAGTCATAATATAATGTATATTCAGAAATGTTTTCGTTACATTGTTTTAAAAGCACAACTTCCAGATAAGTAACATGTCTAAGCCTCTAAATACATTATGTACCAGTTGGTTTCCTATTATCTTGTTTTGAAGTCTTGTGTTGCTTTCATTGTTCTGTTCTGATTTGCTTTATTCTGTCTTATTTGATTTAACTCCCTTAAAAAATATGCCTGCTGAACTACCTGGAACACAGGGTTTACTTTAGAATTCTCAGACTCCTCAAACCGCCCACCGGATGGGAGTGGCATGCAAAGAGTCTACTCCAGGCTCCACATTCCTTCTTCAATTTTGAGTTCTCTGTGGAACCGCTCAGAAATGGATAAGGATGTTTCAGCACACAAACTCAAATTCAGTTTGCAATCTGCTCCCATTTCGAGCAAACAGCTTGTCATAATCAACCCTGGAAAAGAGCCCATTTAGTCCTTGGAGGCAGATGTGAAACCAATTGCAGGGAAATTTTGAGCCTTGGCACCCAAAGTAAAAGTCAGACTCAGCATGGGTATAGTCCTAGATTCCCCCACAGATTCCTTATCTGCACAGAAAAAGGAGGGTCACAATAGGGAAAAAATTCTATTCAAGGTTTTGTGTCCACAGTTTATAAAATAGTACTATTCCAATTCAATAATTTTAAATTAAAAAGCAATTATTAGAATCAAAAATAGTAATTATTGAACTACTGTTGAATGTCAATTCTTGGTTATGGGCTTTTGTAGAATTTTCAGTTAATCTTTACGGCTAAGCCTTCCAGACAAAATTATATTCATTTTACAAAGGCAGAGACTGGGGCACAAGAAAAGTCAATAGATCTCAAAACAATAAGAAGTAAATTCAGAATTTGAATCTCTATCAGTATGAATTCATCTTTCTTATCCTTTATATTGCTTTATTATAATTCTCATTATAATTCTTGACATCTTATTTCCTCCTCTTTTTCAAAACCGAATTTTGAAAATTTTTCAGTCCTAAATGGAGTAGTTTCATATTTCTATCTAACAAAGGGCCTATACAATATGGATTGGATTATCTTTTTCTCTTTCATTAATATAATTCTTGATTTCTTATGTGTATTAACTCCATTAATCGGTACAACAGCCTCACGTGGTAGATGCTACTGCTATTGTTATTTTTATGGTTGAATAATAAAGCTCAGAGAATCTAACAAATTTTTCAAGGAAACACACTAGTGATGAAGAAACTGATACTCAACCTGAGTTCTCAGCTGCTGGACTCTGACATCACCTGTTACAAGCAGAGTTCAACCAACATTAACTGCATAATGAAAGTCAGCCAGTTGCATTTACAAAGTTCATGCATTTCACCATTGTTTTGTCTTTATCTTGGGGTATCTCATTAATTGATAGAATAAAATATCCTTGTATTCTATTACTTTTACAGTACCTCCATCTCAGAGTTACGCTTACTTTGCCTCCAAATTTTATTTACTCGCAGCACATTCAATCAAGAGGTGCAGGTACCCCATAAAATGCAGTGATAGCAGTGAAATGCAGGCTGCTGGATGTGTGCTGTCCTCTATCTTCATGCCATGCTCTGTCTTGTACTCTCTCTCTTCAAACACCTTCATGAATTATTCCTACAGTTTCTGACACATTTAGCTTTATAGCTTGGCTCCTTCCTATCTTTCCTCATTTGGGATTGGCAGTATCAGCTCACTCTGTTTTTTCTCATTAAGAGCTTTCCTCACCATCTCGCTGTCTCCACTCATTACCTCACTGCACACCTCCTAGCCTAAGGCCCTGTGCTTCCTGTTTATCCAGACTCTTCAGAAATTATAAGCATCTGTAAAACTCCCAGACCCACCCTGTCTGAGAAGTATGCAAGGGAAATCAAAGATCTATTGGCCAAAAATGGACCGAATTGCACGTCAATAAGGATAGAAATGATAATGGAATATATCTTTTGATAAGGATACTTAAATAAAATGCTATTTTGTCACTGTTGAATAACTCTAGAAAGTTATCTCATTACTTTGAAGTCTGGTAGGTAAGAAGTAAGATGTATTTATGCTAATATCTAGGTTAAGTATTTATGCTAATAAATTTATGATAATAAATGCTACAGTATGTGTATGGTATATATATATATGCTGGATATCACTGGCAACCAAATAACAAATCAGTAAATGAGAATGGTCTCCTTCTTGAAAATATTCCAGGTGATATGTAAAAATCAATAGAACTGGAGCTGGGCGTGGTGGCTCATGTCTGTAATCCCAGCACTCAGGAGGCTGAGGCAGGAGGACTGTTGAGAGTTCGAGACCAGCCTAGATTACAAAGTGAGCTCAAGGCCCCTGAACTTCATAGAGAGACCCTGTCTCAAAAAGACAAAAAAAAAAAAAAGATCATGAACTGAAAATGGTCATTTCAGCCTCTTAATGAACTAAAAATTACTTGAGAATCATCGCAAAAAAGTGACACATGTGGTGGCTCCTGGCCTCTTGAAGAAAAACATAAAACCAGTTATGAAGTAATTATTCCCATAAAAGCCTAAATTTTCTCTAATTACTCAATGCAATCACTACCTTAGAGATTACATGGGAATAAAAACGTTAAATTTCACCTTCAGCATGGAAATAGCAAGATTCAGACCACAGAAAGTGTGATAAAACAAAAGTTCACACCACTACAGCAAATGTCAAGGGAAAGGTTATGAAGTCAAAAAGAGAACTTGCAGATTAAAATTGACATAAAAGATGCATCAACCAATCACAATGTGTGGACTTACTCAGACTGTAATTCAAGCAGGAACATTCTGAGGTCATTGAGTTTTTCAAACCCTGCGTGGTTATTTCATAACTGACAAAAAAACCGTATTACATTTTTAAAGTGTGATAATGATATTGTGGTTACATTTTTGAAAGATTTATTACCTTTAAGGAGCATATACTAAAATATTTACAAATAACATATTGCATTGGAGATGTACCTCAAAAGAGCCCAGGTGGAAAAATGAATGAAGAATATGGATAGAGAAAGATTGGCTGGGTGATGGGATTGATTACCCTATTTTGTCTTTTTTTGTGAGTGCTGAAAGTTCTCCACAGTAATAAACTAAAAACAAAACCAAGACAAAAGGCATAGGTATTTCTTTCTTAAATCCAAAAGTTTCAAATATTTCAAGGGAATAGTTTTATCAAGATTAAGATTTTAAAAACTGGCATATATTCATGAGATTAATGAGATACCTTCAAAAACAGTCCACTTTTTCTTAGGAAAAGTGAAAGCACATCAAGAACAAAGCTCTTTTTTAGTTGTAGCTCACTTATTTAATTCTCCAGTACAATATCGATACTCAATAGCAGTACTGACCGTTGCATCGAAAGTTGTTCTATACAATAACAGTATACTTATGCATTAATGCTTATTAAATCCATTCTTGTTTTGACAAGATAAGAATTTCTTAACACATACCTAACAGCTAACTGTTTATTAAAGGCAATCAAGTACAAAAGCAAAATTGGAATTCTTTCCTATTTATATTGCATAAGCTATTTTTCAATCTGTAATACAAAATGATATTTTTTATTTAAGCTAATTTACTTTTAAATCATCTCAACTGATTTATTTTTAAAGTCCTTAACTGTACCACATATACTAAAAAATGCAAACATCAGTCTGCCCTTTACATACTTTATTTTTCCATTTTCCAACGTTAGATGCTATTTTCAATTTATTTGCTATCTGTGTCTATGGACTTTCAAGAGATATAAATTGCTAAATGCAAGCCATGTTGATTAAAAAGGGCACTGATGAAACATCAAAATATTGATTTTAAAATGCCAATAAAAATTCACTGGCTTAGTTTAATCACATAATTAAATAATTTCATTGTATCTCTCTCAAGTTTTTCAGGACCCTTTTGTTTGTGTGTTTGTTTTGGTCAGAGAACTCTGAAAATGAATCTTTTCTTGTGACTTTATCATCTCTGGACTCACTAATCACCTGTTCTAGAACGAAAGCTAAAAGGAAGGATTCTGGGGACGAGACTGATGATGGATCAGACTGTTTTCCCACAGTGACCCGGTAAATATACAAGTAAGAATAATTGTCCTCTAATTAAAGATATTTTTTGTCTGTGATTGTTTTTGCAACAATATCAAAACATTTATGAAATGTTTATCCTCACAGATCCTGAAGTACACTTTTTTTGAGTCACTGGCTTATTTTCAATTACTGAAATAACCAAAGAAAGAACAAAGAAATCCCAACAAGTGAATGCAGCATATGCTTTCTCCTTCATTGTATTTCTCGTGTGGAATCTGTTCTTGCTTATGATATTTATACCAAGATTGATTTCCTTGCATAAAATTGATTAAAAAAACACTTACCCAGAACAAGAAGTTGAAGATAAACATAGAATATTTTAGACAGCCACTCACACCTGCCATTTCAGAAAAGGAGCAGGACTCCAGATGCTGTGAATTCAACTACTCTTAGGAGTTTGTCCAGAGATGTGCTCTAGATGCTCTGCCTGCAGAGATTCCCGTGCCTACAAGCTTCAAACAGAAATGGATAGCAAAGAACTAGACGGAGAAAAAATAATTGTAAAATTGGATGAAAAATTAACCCACACATTTAAATATCACGTAGGCTATCTGCAGGCGAGTACAGTTTTTTGCTTGTCATGGCTCCCGGGGCACTGGGCCAGGATATTTATGATCCTTCCTCAAAAACTGCCTCCTGTAAAGTAAACAGATATCAGGTTAAGGGAGTGGCGCTAGGCAGAGTGGAGAGTGGCACGGCGAGATAGGAGTGGTTCGACTTCAGAAGCAGCAACCTGATTTTCCTGCTCTGTACAACAAATAACGTTTTGTTCTCAGGTAAAGCGACATTGTGTCTAGACTATTTGTGCACTGTATTTTAAGACAAAATTTATTCCAGTAGAATAAAATGCATTTAGAAATCTGAAAAATCTCCAACCTTAGCACAGAAAACTTTCATCATTAAGTTTAGATAGTGAAACAACTTTTATGTACCTGCCTTCCAAAGCAAGATTTCTTCTCAAAATATTTCCAGAGCTGCCACAAATGCATCAAGGTTGCTGGAAATATAGAGGGAGAAACAGCTTCTTCTACCTTGCTAAGACCATTCCTTTTTTACCTCTATTACTTTATGATGTGAAAGAACAATATTTTCTGGAGCTGCTCTCTGGCTGCCCCCACATCGTGTTCCCCTCATAACAGCATGGCCGTTTTTGATAGTTTGGTTTCTTTCTAAGGTGGACAGTACTTCCCTTCTGATAAATCATGCGTTGCAACCGTTCCATTTCCCCAAATCAGTTTCTGGTCCTGTGGGGCACAAAATAGTCTAAAATGGGAAGGTGGTCATGCATTATTAACCACAGGTTACACAATTAGTTTCTAGTGCTAAATAAAAGGCAGCTATCCCCAGGTAAAAGCAACATTCTCTTATTCATCCTCTGACCTAACCAGGAAGGCATGGACTGCACTGTATAAACACACTGGGTCATTCTGATTTCCACACCCTGCCTCTCAGCTAGCATTCTTTCCTTTAATAAAAGAACTGTATGCTTCAAAATATAGTTGGGGAAATAATTCTTTTTAAAAGTTTATTAAATTCTATACTATAAGTGAGCTTGGACTTCTTCCAAAATAATATTTTTCTAACTTTCACTCACACACAATCCTACTCTGTATCTATAAACAATATATGTTAGTGTATTGTTAGGACTAGTGTTTAGTGTTAAGGGCCAAATTTAGAATTAGTTCCAAAAATAGTGGCTTAGTCTTCAAGTCATCACTAATGTTGTTGGTGTTCTGGGCTGCTTCCTCCTAGAAAATGGAAATACTTTCATAAATTCACACTGAGATGTTAGCGTTTAAAAGACAATGTATGGCTGAAAAAAAAAAGAACTTTCAGATTGAATGAAAAAATGAATTTCTAATTCCTAAATTATTTCTCATAGAGGTGTAAGATTAAAGAAATACTATCCTATTGGAAAATATGTATTAAACACTTATTTCAGTGTCGGGGTCGCTCCCGGCCGGCAGGAAAGACACACGACAAAGTCTGGCGGTGTGCAACCTTGCCTTTATTTGTCTCCGCGTGGGCCCCGCGAGGCCTCCTCTCTGCCACCAGCCCTTTCTCGCCGGTGGACTTCCTCTATCTCTCTCTGTGCTTCTCTCTTGTGGCGGGAGAGGCATTTACTTTTATAGGGTAACAGTGGCCAATCAGTTCAAAGCGCGCGATGCGGGCTGATTGGCTAACATCAGTTGTTGCTAGGCAGACTATCTTACAGAGCGGGTTGTTTAAGTCCCCAGCGCAATCAGGGGGCAGGAAGCAGGCGCCAACTTGACTCACTCGATGGGAGGGGCAATCTAGCTCAGGCTCCGCTCCCACCCACAGGCCCTACGTCCGCCAAGTAAGGCGACCGGTGTCGGCGGCTCCCAACATTTCAGTTTGGAGCTGACTGTGTGGTAGATTCCAAATTCCACCTAAAAGAAGTAGTCTTCAGTTAAATCAAGCTTGCACTCTGAAACACAATCAGTGGATGTGTTTTCACAGGAAAATGACTGTGCGATAGAACGCCCAGTACACTGCAAAACAAAGGCAACAATATTATTGTACATTTCTCTCAGTTTCTATCCTAGTAAATGCTGAACTTGCATAGCTCTTCCCCGAAAAGTACTGTAGTGTGGCTTTTATATTTCTTTCTTGCCTCATAAGTAATCATCATTTCCCAGGGTCTTTCAAGGCCCTTAATTTCTTTCATATCTGTTTCTTCTAATTCATCTCTGGTCACCTGTCATTGTCCAGTCCTTTGTCACCTCTTACTAGCTCTTTCAATGGAAATATAGTATTCCTGCTTGTCTCTTCCCCTCTGCCTGAGCCCTCCAAAATTTTTCTTTCTTTCTTTCTCTCTCTCTCTCTCTCTCTCTCTCTCTCTCTCTCTCTCTCTCTGTCTCTCTCTCTCTATTTCTCTTTCTTCCCTTTCTTTCTTTTTGAGACAAGGTCTTGCTATGTAGTTGAGTCTGGCCTTGCACTCACTATGTAGCACAGGCTACTTCAAACTCATGGCAATATTCTTGCTTCAGCCTCCTGAGTGCCGGGATTACCACCATATACCACAAGGCCTATCTCAGAATTTTTAAGTAGTTATTGGTCATGTAATTTCCCTGATTTAAAACCAAGCTGAAGATGGCTTCTTGTTCTCCACTGTATACATTTCAGAGTTCTTAGGGTTGTATTCAAGACACATAGTACCCACCACAAAAGACTGTCTTGATCTTTTTTCCTTTCCCTATTTATTGCTAGAAGAGGAACCTCAGAATCCATGTGCAGGCCTAGAGCTTGCCTTTGGATCACGTTGTTCCTTCCACCTGGAATATTCTCTCCCATCTTCTATGCCTGGTAGATTATTGCAAAGGCCCCTCGGTGCTTGCTTCAACTACTTCACCTGTGGAGCCCTCCCTTCCTGTCCACGGCCCCCACGCTGGGCAAACTTACTTGCTTCTCCATCTTTATGCTCATTATGATCTGAACAAACATTTACAATTTCATTTCATATTCTTTTATTTGTGTCTCTCCCATTGTGATCCTTTGTGCTCAAGGTAGAAATTCTGGCCTGTTCCTCACGCTGTCTCCAGCCCTGGGTTGGAGAGAAATCTCCTCCCAGCTCTCCAGAAAGTACAGGCAATGATTCCTCTTCGATTCTCTGTGGAAGTACCAACATGCTACTTTTTTCTCCTAAGAATCCAATTACCAGATAAAGAAGAAGAATTTCTTTATCTTAGACTTTTTTCAAGAAGAAGATATATAGAAATTCCCTAGGAATATAGTTCCAAAAATGTATCTCAGCTACTGTTACAGAACATACATTCATGTTTACAGGAATATTGTTTTAGGCAAACTCTTACATGAGACAGATGGATGCACCCAGGGGGATTGAATGGCTTAAGTTCACAAAACCAGGATAGTGACCTAACCCTTTCTAGAAATGATATTCCTTGATTATCACACTAGTAGTATGACCACTGGCATCAACTATCTCTTAGCTCTTGAGAAGTTGTTACACAGCAGATAATTTAAAAGTAGCGAGATATGAGCAGTCAGGCTGTAAGTGTTGATAACAAACTTAGAACCTGTGAAAGATAAAACTAGGCAGGAGCGACATGGAAAAGTGGGATATCATAGCAGCAAATCATAACTGTAAGAAAGCCCAATATATTTAAATAGAGCTTTCCTAATGTTATGATCATGCCAACTATTACTACTCATAAAGTGGATTTAAAACTGAGTAATCATAAAACTCTATGACGTAGTGACCAAAGTACCAGGTTTTGATAGCCAGGTGTGAGGTGTGTCAAGGAAAAAGTGAAAGGGAAAGAAAGAGAGAGGGAAAGAGATAGATGGAGAAAGACAGAGAGAGACATTAAGATGGCAAAAAGGGCAAGAGTAGACACATAAGATGCCTTATATAAAATATGGTATATTTTCCAGGCCATCAGACAAATCAAACTTACGTTTGGAATTTGATCTAGTTTGTGTCCTCCAGAGTTCTATGTTGGAAATTTAATACCCAGTACAACAGCATTGAGAGGCAGAACCGCAAAGAGATGATGAAGTCATGAGGGTTTTACCATCATTGTAGGAGTGCGTCCGTTATTTTAACAATGGATTCATTGTAAAAACAAGTTCATCTCCTCATGCTCTCACTTTCCTCTTCCGTGTGTCTGTTCACGCACTATCTTTTGCTTCTGCCTTTTTGGAATGGTGCAACTAAAAGGCCCTTGCTACAGGTGGGCCCTTTGAGCTTGAAATTTCTAGTCTCCATGACTTTAAGAAATACAAAAGATTTGTAATCTTGTGAGTTTCTGTTCCTTATGCATTATTCATTCTCCAATATTCTGTTACAGCAGCGCAAAATGGGCTAAGAGAGGTCCTGATCAGGAAGCAGACACAGATGTGTGTTTCACATTTTCGTAACGGTATTTCCTTCTCCTCTGCAGGATGTACTCAAAGTCTCATTCAACAAACTACTGCAAGAGACTGTGCGAGGTGCTGGTGATAGAGAAAGTTTACAAACAAAATAAAACTACTGCCTTCATGAAGCTTGTAGTGAGAATATAAATTCCTCTTGGAATTTAAATTCCTTTGTTTCCAAAATTTAGTGAACCAATGTACTTGTCAGTGAAATATGTCATAAAAAGACAAATTTTGTGTTTTAGAGCAAACATTCCTTACCCTCCTCTTCAATGACACTGTAATTTATATTTATATTTTTAAATGACATTGTGAGTAATAAATTCATTTTGTTGAAGGCTGGTAACAATAAGAAGTACACGATGTTGAAATTTCTCTTCCTTATGACCACCCTTAGAGGTGGGTGTGTAAAGGCAACAGGTCATGCACCATGTACAACTTGAGTGAAGTGAAAGTTACAGTTGTCTTTAGCATTTCTCATTTATAAGCAATGGTTTTTTCTTAGTTTTAAAAGTTGAAAAAACTCACTTATAGGCTTTGTGGAGCAGAGCCTTGGTCTGTTTTTTTCTCTCTAATCCATTTCTGGCCTTCAGATCACTAACATTCATTGGCTTTTGTGTGAGCTCACTACTCTCTGCTTCCTACCTCAATGTCCTTAAACACACGGGTTG